GCTGCTGCGTCTGCCTTAGTCACTGAGCTTGTCGACTTTGCAGCTGCGTGTCGTCTAGACTACGCTGCGAGTCTTGTTGCTGAGTCTGAGTCTGTCTGTCCTCCGTCCGTCGGGGGTGAGTGTGCTCTTGGCACGGACGTTCTTGAGGACAGGCAGGAGGAGGTTGGTTGCCTTGCCGCTGCTTTGCCCCATCTCGTGTCCATGCTCGTTGCCCCTGAGGGAGACCCGGATGCACCAGACATCCCGACCCCACGCTCTTACGCAGAGGCGATGGCCGGTCCCTACTCCTCTCAGTGGCAGTCAGCCATGGACACAGAGATGGCTTCCTGGAAGTCCACTGGCACCTACGTCGACGAGGTTCCCCCACCTGGGGCGAACATCGTCAGTGGCATGTGGATTTTCAGGGTGAAGCGGCCGCCGGGCTCTCCGCCTGTCTTCAAGGCGCGTTACGTTGCACGAGGCTTCAGTCAGCGAGAGGGAGTTGACTTCTTCCAGACCTTCTCCCCGACCCCGAAGATGACCACTCTTCAGGTTCTGCTACACGTCGCCGCTCAGCGTGACTACGAGCTCCACTCTCTAGACTTCAGCACAGCTTTCTTGCAGGGCAGCCTGCACGAGGAGATCTGGCTGCGCCGCCCACCTGGCTTCACTGGGTCGTTCCCTCCTGGTACCCAGTGGAGCCTCCGGCGGCCAGTCTACGGTCTCCGCCAGGCGCCACGTGAGTGGCACGACACACTGAGGACTACACTTGCGGCTCTTGGGTTCGCTCCTTCTACTGCTGACCCGTCGCTGTTTCTACGCACCGACCCCTCGCTGCCGCCGTTCTACATCCTTGTGTACGTCGACGACTTGGTCTTTGCCACTTCTGACACAGTTGGTCTCGCTCACGTGAAGTCCGAGCTGCAGAAGAGACACACGTGCACAGACCTGGGTGAACTGACAAGCTATCTTGGCTTGCGGATCACCCGGGACAGAGCACGGCGCACCATCACCTTGACTCAGTCACACATGGTGCAGCAGGTCCTTCAGCGCTTCGGGTTCACGTACTCCTCGCCTCAGTCCACTCCTCTGCCTACGGGACACTCGCTCTCAGCTCTGCCTTCGGATGAGTCCGTAGAGCCGAGTGGTCCGTATCCAGAGCTTGTGGGCTGCCTCATGTACCTGATGACCTGCACTCGACCTGACCTTGCATACCCTCTCAGCATCTTAGCACGCTATGTCGCTCCCGGCCGTCACCGGAAGGAGCACATGGATGCAGCTAAGAGGGTGTTGCGCTACTTGTGCAGTACGTCGGGCATGGGGCTAGTGCTTGGAGGGCGAGACCGGCCTGTTCTCAATGGGCACTCAGACGCTTCCTGGGCAGACGACCAGGCTACTCAGCGGTCGTCCCAGGGTTACACCTTCAGTCTTGGCTCTGGCTCTGTCTCTTGGCGTTCTACTCGCTCTTCTTCTGTTCTCAGCTCCAGCTGTGAGGCTGAGATCTACGCCACGGCCATGGCTGCCCAGGAGCTTCGCTGGCTCACCTACCTGCTGACTGACCTTGGAGAGCAGCCTCGTTCTCCTCCAGTGCTGTACGTCGACAACAAGGCCACCATTGCCTTGTGTGGGGAGCACAGACTGGAGCACAGGACGAAGCACATTGCTCTGCGCTACTTTCTTGCTCGAGAGCTGCAGCAGCGAGGTCAGCTTTGTCTGCGTTACGTGGCCACTCGGGCCAACACTGCTGACGTGTTCACCAAGGCGCTTCAGCCTTGGTGACCATCAGCGCTTCTGTACTGTTCTAGGCCTCGTGCCTACTGTCCCTCATTTGCTCACTTCTTGACTTTGCTTGTACAGTGATCTCTATATATATATACCTGCATGCTTACTCTTGCTAGGTTGTGATTAATGTATCTCTTGTTCTTTTATAAATCTGCATGTGAACTGGTCTTGTGACCGCTTGCTTGTGCTCGGAACTTGTGTGGTATCCTTGAGATCCACCCTGAGCTTTGTTTTGCTTTGACTGGTCTTATGACCCCTTGTTCTCCCCCACTTGGCCTATGGGGGTGTGTCAAACATTGTATGATGTGCTTGTTTAGGCTACAGTGGGTTAGCCTATAGTGGGTACACATTTCTAGGGTTAGGTTTGACCTATTTGTACCCAACACTCATTCTAGTCATTCATTCTCGTTTCTGATTCTGACACCATCATCTCAGACCGCGACCCTCGTTTCACTTCGAAGTTCTGGAAGCAGCTTTTCGCACTGTTTGGGACTCGCTTAGCCATGTCGTCTGCGTACCACCCAGAGACAGACGGACAGACCGAGCGTGTGAACCAGACCTTGGAGCAGATCCTTCGTAGCATCACGATGCACGACGCAGCCGCATGGGACAAGAAGCTGAGCATGGCAGAGTTCGCCTACAACAACACGCACCACTCCGCCACAGGCATGTCACTGTTCTTTGCACTTTACGGTCAGCACCCCAATGTCCCCACTCGTGTCGATCTCACACCCACAGTCCCTCGTGCGGACAACTTCCACCAGCATCTCACCTTCATTCATGATCACGTGAGGAAGCAACTTGAGCTCGCAAATGCACGCATGGCATGCACCACCAACCGCAGTCGTCGTGAGGTGTCGTTCGCAGTCGGCGACCGTGTTCTCTTGGATAGCCGCAACCTCCGACTGCCACAGGACAGCAAGCTTCGTCCACGTTTCATTGGTCCATTCGTCATTGAGCGCGCACTAGGTCCAGTCGCATACCGCCTTCGCCTTCCCGCACATTTCCGCATGCACCCGTCATTCCACGTGTCTCTCCTTCGCCCATACACCGATCCCAATGCCACCTTCTCGGGCCGTGATCGCACTCCACTGCCGGTAGCTGTTGACACCGACGAGCCCGACTACCAGATCCAGCGCATCCTCAGGCACCGTCGCCGTCTCCAGGGGGGTGTCACTTTCATCGACTTCTTGGTTCGTTGGCGTGGTTACGACGCAGCAGACGACAGCTGGGTTCCTTCGTCCTCGCTGTCTCCTGACAACGCTTGCCTCCAAGCGTACCTTCAGTCTGCAGGCGCCGCGGACGTCGCCTCCTTGGGCGGGGGGTAGTGTTAGAGGGGTGTTTACTGTTCATTCCGAATAGTACATTCCTAGTCACCATTATCCTTATCTTCTCAGATTCTCTAGTGCCACGTGGCACTCTACTTTTCTTGCACTCCAATTCTTGGTCCCACATTCCACTTTCCAACCTTGTTTCTTGCATGCTATATAAACCTTGCTTGTACTTGCCATTATCAATCAATTCTCATTCAACTCTTCTTCAATTACTCAGTAACTTCTTCGCCTATTTCGCCAATAGTTCTTTCGCCAAAGTCTTCCGCCGCGTTTCATCCTCGACTTAGTCGACCCCGCTAATTCTTTAGCGGACTTAGGCCGTCGGGCCTAACAAATTTGACACTGGCGTGTAGTGACCCTAGGTTCGGAAACTCTAGGGCCGATCGGAGATACCGTGGTGTGGCTGTACAAAAGAATGAAGTGCAATCGAACAAGGTCGTCCAAAAAATGAACAATGGTCCTCTTCTGAATTGCCACTTCCCCCAATCACCCGATCGTTTGACACACCTCCCCTGCTGCCGCCTCTACCAAACCTGCGCGCCTTCAGCGGAGTTTCTTTTGGCGCAATCAATCACCACAGTCAAGGTGACTATGGAGGACATGAAATCTCCCAGTTCTGATGATTGTGCTGTCGTTCATTTGATAATTGCATCATGTTACGGCGTAGTTCATTTGATGATGTGGTTCTGTTAAGAACAGCCCATTTCGTAACATGCGACCGTCTGAACGGCTCCCACCAACCCTGCCGAGAACCCTCTCGATCCCAACCTTCGAACAAACTGTCGGTGATTCTAGGACCTCGTAACAAACTCATCATACACTTGGAGGTGGGAAGCTGGTGAGAGTGCACTTCTGTTACGATGTCCCCAAATGTTTTGTTTCGCTATTCGTTGAAGACGGTCGCCTGTAACGAGGTTCGCTGTTTGTCATGCAGCCTAAGGGCGCACAAACAACAACAGCAGGTTACCCATTTTTCGTTTCTGAAAGATCGTTCCCAGAAAGCGCATCAGATGCGAAGTCTACTGCTTGTTGGGCGCCCTATCCTCTTCCCCTACCGCAGATTTCCCTCTTGACGGAGCATTACCCCCCACATCACGCGCTGACGACGGCAGGCACGCAGGCAGGTCGAGTAGTGGCGGAGACGGCGGAATGGGCTTGATCCGACGGCAAGCGTGCTGGCGGAGACGGCGAGCGCTGAAAACATTGCGGAAACGTCCCCTCTGGCGATCCAGTTGGAGTGCTGGCGGTAAGGTTATCTATTGGGATTGGAACCACTGCATCTGCGCGAGAGGTTCCCCTGACATAAACTGAGCACCGCGGGTCCCTTCCCTGCTGTGCAGCATTCCTCAGATTTCTTTCTTGTTAGAACCACCACTCAGTTCGCGAGCAGACGCGCAACCAGCGTCCCCAGAAGGCGAACGGACAGGTTGAGCAGAGCGGGCCGGTTTGAGCAGAGGCGAAATGGACGCCATTGCGGATGCGGCGCCGAGCTTGCTGGCGATAGCTTCGATTCTGAAGCAGTCGGCGGATGGCATGGAGCAGTGGTCGCTGGAGGACCTGACGCTGGGGCTGTACCGGCTGAGCCTGAAGCACGCCGCCGGGAAAGACGTCGATGCGATTCCCGGGGACGTCGTGCGCCACGATGGGGATGCGGATGCGGATGCGGATGGGGATGGGGATGGGGATCAGAATGCGAGTGAGCGCGAGGAAATGTGGAGGGTGTGAGGGTGGGACGGAGCGAGGGAGCGAGGGGATGACGAGGAGCGCGGCAATCCTTGATGATCATCCCATTTCCAGCGCATGCTGTGTCGTCGCATCCCTTGCGACGCCAGGGGCAAGTCACATAAATGACATCTGTAGCTACCACCAAACACACTCCGTTCGCTGGTTCGCAATCCGTTCACGATGCGGCTGAACGAAACCGCATTCCGTCTGTCCTCCCTCCATCCACACAACCTCGCAAACACATCCAACCAAATGCACCTCA